CCGAATCCTCGAGCACGGCCAGCACGTGATCGCAACTGGACAGATTGGACACGTGCAGGACGGATGTGAAGGCCGGCAGCATTTCCATTTCCTCCAGCACCTCGCGACGACTCGACGTGCACAGAATTAGCAGCTTGCGGCCCTTTGGCGGCTGCTTCTTGAGCAGCACCAGCAGCGCCTGCAGCGTGAGATTTGAGTAGCGGGGTCCAATGGATCCGTAGTCCAGCAACCGTTCCACGTTGTCCACCACAATGCAGCTGAGTGTCGAGCGGTAGGCATCGTCGAAGATCTTGCGTATGTGCAGGCACTTTGCGGACTCCGTGAAGCCGACCATGTCCTCGGGCGAGCAGACCTTCACGAAGGGGAAGTCGCTCATCTTGGCGAGGTTAGCGGCCAGCGCTGATTTTCCCGAGTTGGGCGCACCTTCGATGAGCACGGACACCAGGCCAGAGCTCTCCGTGGCCTTGGCCTGCTGCACGTACAGCATGCCATCCTCCAGCAGCTCGGACACAGGCGAACCCCAGTTGATAATGCCGCGGGCCAGCATATTCTCCAGCATCTCCTGTGCGGTGCCAAATGCCGGCTTGATGTCGTTGTCCAGAGCGTGCATAAAGTCCGAGCGGGTGACCTTCAGTTTCTCCATGGCCTCGGGATCGACGTGCACCTTGGAGTCCGCCTTGATAAGGCGATTCATGGCCGTCGACTGGGCGGCACGAACCAGACCCTCCAATTCGGCGCCACTAAAGTTCTTTGTCCTGGCAGCGATCTCGATGTTGTCCACATCGCTGGCAATCTTGTTGAAGTCCCGCATCCGTTTTGTGTGGATATTGAGGATCTGGACGCGGCCCTGCTCGTTGGGCAGGCTGATTTCCATTTGCACCTCCAGGCGGCCAGGTCGAAGCAGCGCCTCATCTATCATATCCCTGCGATTGGTCATGCCGATGACGAGGATGTTGTTCAGCTGCTCCACGCCGTCGATCTTGGCCAGCAGCTGGTTCACCACGGTGTCGTGGACGCCGCTGTTGCCCGCCACGGAGCCTCGCGCCTTGCAGATGGCATCGATCTCGTCGAAGATGATGATGTGCAGCCCGCTGTTGGGTCCCAGCCGCTTCTCCTCCTCCTCGGCATCAGCAAACAGCCGCCGGATGTTGGCCTCCGACTCGCCCACATACTTGTCCAGGATCTGCGGCCCATTCACGATCTTAGGCTCGCGAGCATTCAGCATGGTGCCAATCTGTCGGGCCATCAGCGTCTTGCCAGTGCCGGGGGGTCCATAGAGGAGGATGCCCTTGACGTGCTTGATGCCCAGCTGCTCCACCAGCTCGGGAGGGAAGACGCGCGAAGCAAAGGCTCGCCGGAAGATGGCGTTGAACTCGTTGTCCAGGCCGCCGATGCCCATCTTGCCAAAGTCCCAGTCCGGATTGATGATCGACTGCCGCACAATCTTGCCCTTGGACCTGCCCTGCAGATTCAGCACCGAGTTCTCGGCCTTCTCGAACTGCACTACCGTGTTGCCCAGGATGCGGCCGAAGCGGACATTCCGCGACTTGGGCTCCTTGCCATCGCCCACGGTGCGCGGGTCCACTGCCTCCAGTGTCTTGACTGCCAGGCCGAGGAATTTCTTGTCCTTGAACTGAAAGACCAGAGACTGGCCCACAGTCAGGGCCATGCCCGAGAACTGCATGATGAACTCCTTGGCCATTTCGTCCGAATCGTAGGGCTCCTGCGTGGTGGTCTTCTTCTGCAGAAAGTCCGTCTCAAAGGAGACTTGAGTGATGATGTCCGAGCTGGCGTCGAAGCGGTACGGACGCACATCGATCTCCTGGTTGATGGACAACGACGCCCACTTGCGCTGCACCAGCGAGAAGCCCACATGATCACGTGGCATATCCGCAATCTTCTCCAGCGCAAAAATGTAGTGCTGTCCGGGTCCCGGCGAGATGTCCACATATCTATCAATGAGAAAAACAATGAAATTAGTCGCTGCTCTGCTCAGAGAGACGCCCACGTAGCGCAGCGCTGGCGTCACACACAGCCAAAAGGTACGGGGAGGGAGACTGACTTTACTTCCTCGGTGAAATCGTTGATGTTCACGATGGCCTTGTTCGTCAGCGATAGCTCGTCCGTGGGGCACTTGATGGCCTTCATTTTATGTGCCATTTTGATCAGGATTTAAGATGTTTTGTTCCAAAAATGATAAATGTTTTTTTTTGCCAGCAAATCAGTGTTATTGATCAAATATACCGCAAAACCCTAAAAAAAATACCTTCTCATTTTATAAATATACCGTATTCCTAAATCATATTCCACGATGTTAATGTTCTATTTGATATTACTAGCTAGTTAGGAGTCTCAGCCATGAAACTTTAAATTTATCCGGTTTATCAATTAATGCTCCTCAAGATCGGCTAGTTTTCAGGACTGCCTTTTATCGAAATGTCTGCAAAATAAGGCTAAAACTAAAACGGTCAATCCACAAAAATAACATACAACGTTACGTGAATGGGTATAGATTGCTACGCAATCAAAACTTTATGAGTCACCAACAGCTGACCCCCAAAAATGTATCGTGTTCCACTAATCGGAATCGAACTAAGCCCACTTAAGCCCCCTTCCTTTGAACAACTTGTAGAAATAATCTTTAAAATTAACTATCTTTATTATTGCACTTGGGATTGTTGCGCCTGGCTAGCAGCACGACATTTTCCAACGTTACTTCCCGCGGGACATAGAACTTCAGCGACGCCTCGAAGCCATTGGCACGCAGATGCTCGAGACGGCCGTGATCCAAGATCCTTTTGCACTGGTAGCCGATCTGTTCGCGCTGTTCTCGGGTCAGTCTTTGGGTGGGCGGTTCGCCGAGCTCCTCGTGAGCCTCCGCCATGGCCTTGCGACGCTCCCGACTGACGCCCGTGCCGCAGACCGCCCAACTGACCATTTTGGTGATGATGGCGAACTCCCGGGGTCCAATGCCGGCCGCCTGCAGCCAGGACTGGCCGACGTAGGAGCGCCACGAGCAGCGGTGATGGCAGCACACGGCAATGAGGATGTAGTCAGTGGCAGCAGCTCCATCAGCCAGAACACAGCGCAACGTGAGATCCGTGGCCGCTCCACAGAGATGCTTGGACAGGGCGACATTCCGCTTGGTCCGCTGCAGCTCCGGCAGAGCGGACATTCTGAGGTCCGCGATGTCTGCGCGGATGCGCTGGACCAGCTCCTTGTTGGTCACTTTGTTGTCCTTCTTGTGGCGCAGCGACATGCGATCGATCAGCACCACCTGCGAGTGGGAGAGGCTCAGCGCTTCCAGCGCTGTGGCCAGGAAGAAGGCCAACTGGCCCTTGCCGGCGCCAAACTCAATGAAACTCGTGCTGTCCGTCAGCTGCTGGTCGTGCTCTAGGATGCCCAACAGTGCGGAGGCCTGCACCAGATGCTTGCGCGACTCCTGGCCGTACTCCTCGTGGCTGAGCGGCTCCTCGAGGCTGGCGTGCTGCAGGTGCAGATCCTCGATGCTGTTGCCCACGTGCTTCTCGTACAATGTCCGCACTTTGTCTATTACGCTGTAGAACTCAGTGTCCTCGAGCTCGTGGAGTTTCAGCTTGCTGTTTGTTTCCTCATCCTCGGGGTTTTCCAGCTCCTCGCCGGCGTTGACGTTTTTGACGATGTAGGGCAGCGTGCTGGCCAGCTCCCGGGCATTGCAGATTGTCAGATGCTTGGCCAGCTTCCTCTTGAACACAGTGTGCTTCGGGTCTAGTGGGCAGGGAATCCGTTCAGCAGCCGCATCCACATCTTGGCTCTCCTCAGTGGCAGGGCAATGGGCGCCGCAGAAGAGGCTTCCCATGTTGGCTGACATCTTGCAGTGGCGTTTCTTGCGCGGCACCCAGTAGGTGCATGTGGTAACTTCAGCCGCCTCATCTACCTGTTGGGTCATCTTGGGTTTCTTGGCAGCCATGAAAATAAGTTTTTAAAACTAATTCCAAACTCGTGCGGACCGAGCGACCGCGGACTTATCGATAAAATATACCGCAAGAACATCAAAAATATACCGAAATATATATACCGACAAGGTGCGCGTCTAACAGCACTTTTTAATGGCTGAAAAACTAAAATCTTATCTGAATTGGCTTTAATTTATACTTTTGGGTTATATATTTAAATAGTTTGTTAATCTTGTATACCTTCAAGCCCAATTATTAAGAATTATATGCCGCCTTGCAAGATATTTTGGAGGGTCCGACGGTATATTTTATCGATAGTTCCGCGGTAGCACGGTTTACCACCTCTAAGCAAAGTAAAGTAAAAAAAGCCGCGTTTGTTAAGAAAAACCACAAAAACTAACTAAAAACCAATAAAGAACCATACCTTCTTGCATTTACCAACGTCTTAAGAAACTATAACATGTAAGTAACATCAGGAAACTATGAAAACCCAATCCCTGAGACCCCTGCCGACCAGTAACATGTGCTGTGTGCCGGCTTTTGCCCATTGTTGTAGCGTCAAATAATTTCGAATTATTTTGCAGGGCTCTTGTGAAACCAAAATCGGAGCTGACACCCGAGGAGCTGGCCCGCCAGGAGGAGGAGGAGTTCAACACGGGACCCCTGTCCGTGCTCACACAGTCGGTGAAGAACAACACGCAGGTGCTCATCAATTGCCGCAACAACAAGAAGCTGCTGGGCCGCGTGAAGGCCTTCGACCGCCATTGCAACATGGTGCTGGAGAACGTGAAGGAGATGTGGACGGAGCTGCCGCGCACGGGCAAGGGCAAGAAGAAGGTGAAGCCCGTCAACAAGGATCGCTTCATCTCGAAAATGTTTCTGCGCGGCGACTCTGTGATCCTGGTGCTGCGCAATCCACTGGCCACAGCAGCCGGTAAATAGACTGTCCCGCCCAAAAACCCACAACACGAATAGAATACTTTCCACTAAAGTCAATAAAACCAAAAGCGATTTTCTATAATTAATCCACAAAATGTGATGTCAAAAGGTGTGCAATAATCGTCTACTCCTCGGACAGCTGCTTGTGGAGCTCTGGAACGTAGTCATCGTACTGCGCCTGGTAGAAGTTGCCGGCCACGGGATTGCCCAGCTGATACTCCTCTGCAAACTTGGCTGCCTTGAAGCTGGGTCTGTCGCGACGCGACTTGTTGCTTACGTGCTTCTCCTTAAAGTCCAGCTTGCCGGGCTGCTTGTACAGCAGGAAGACGTAGCGATGGAGGCCCGTACCCTTGGGTGGACCGGAGCCAATGTAGGCAGTCAATACATCGCCGCTGGCCACATCGTTGCCGGGAATGTTGACCACCACCCAGTGCTTGAACTCGCGGAACTTTGGCTCGGCGCGACTGGGCGCATCTGGATCGGTGAGGATGAGTGTGTAGTAGTCGCCGGGTGCGGCAGACCACTCGACCAAGGGCTGATCCTTCACCTGTGTGGGCGTTAGCTCTACGCCTTCCTTCGCCACGAGTCCCTCTTTGTAGGTGACCTTTGAACGGAAAGTTTTAAATAGTTTTAGTTTGCTGCGAAGTTTCTGTGAAGTTTTGTTTGTGTGTCTGCGTTGCCCCACCTTTAGGAACTGGTTTGGTGCCTGGGCAATGACATCGGGCACCACCTCATGCGACGCAAAGACCTCCTCCACGGAGGCGGAAGACTGCGCAACAGCCACAATGCTGGCCAGCAGTATGGGAATCAGCAGCATCTCGGCACAGAACTGGAAAACGGAGCAGCGACTTGGTTGTGTGAAAAGGCGCGACCAGATCCCGAACAAGGTCTGACAGCAACTGAAACCAGTTTGGCCCGGTGGCACACTCTTAAAGCGAGTCTCGTCTGGCCCAGAGAGCTTTTTAATGGGAAAAGCCAACCCCGTCCTCTGATCGAGAAGCTCGCGGTTAATTACTCGTCGCGCTTCAATGCGAATTTTAATAGTTATCAGACATACAATTTGTGACCATATTTAATGCTACTTCTTGCCAGAGAGCTGCTTGTACAGCTTGGGCACATAGCTGTCGTACTTGGCCTGAAAGAAGTTGCCGGCCACAGGAGTGCCAAGATCGTACTTCGCCACGAACTTGCTGGTGCTGAACTTGGCCCGATTGTCGCCGCTGGTCTTGGGTATGCGTTTCTCCTTGCAGGAGAGCTTCTGCTTCTGCTTGAACAGCAGAAAAACGTAGCGATGCAGACCCGTGCCGTCGGGCGGCCCAGCGCCCACATATTCGGTGAGCACGTCCCCAGTCGCGATCTGTGTGCCGGGTATGTTCACCACGAGCCAGTGATGCCACTCACGGAACTTCGGCTCCTTGCGACTGGGCGCATCCGGATCGGTAAGGAGGAGCGTGTACATCGCACCCGGCTCTGCGTCCCATTCCACAGTCGGATGAGCCTTCACCTGAGTGGGCGTCAGTTCGGCTCCCTTGTCGACGACCAGACCGCCTCCATACGTGACCTACGTGGAGTTAATTGCGGTCAGAAAGGTCACACGCTTATTGGGATCCTACCGTGAGCAGAGCAGCTGGCGCCGCAGGGAGTATATCTGGAACTATTCCATGCTTTGCAAAGCATTCGGCAGCCTCGGAGCTCGACATTTTCCAAAATTAAATTATAGACTGCTGGAACAATAAGCAACGAAAAGGGCCAGGAATGCTATGATCTTAATATATGTACATATGTTAGGGACATTTACTTGCATTTATATATTAAACCGTCACATACATATGTACATACACACATACTTACATATAAAAAATAAATGCGAAAAGACCGCTTGGAACGGTGAATGCAGCTGAGAGGTAGGTGGAGATGCGGATTAGCGCTCGCTCATTCTCTCTTCTGTCACCTCCCACGGTCTCCATCTGTTCCTCTTCCTTTTTGCACGCTAATTCCGCAACGTTTTGCTTGCTGGAATAGGGGTGTGAGCGGGAGAGTGTTAAATTCTATGTGGTCATGCGCTGAGTCACGTACGCATCGATCCCGCGCTATTTTCACGGATATCGAGGTGTTTACCAAATAATTACAATTTTTGTTGGTGGTCTAATTGCTATAAAAGTGTAACAGCGTGGTTTCTTGGTGTGTCCCTAGTAAGATGGTGCACATCGGTGCTCCAGCCGTCTGTGAGACAACCCATAATTCCATGCTCTCTTCTGTCATCTTCCATGGTCTCCTCCTGTCCCTATTCCATGTTGCTTGCCTATTCTGCTATAATGTGGGAGAGCGGACTTTTAACCGTTTGACCACTTGCTTAAGCAGTGGAGTGAGCGGGAGAAGAAGAAAGGAAGGAATAAGCGAGAACATGAGTCACGTACGCATGTCGGTCCCTAGCTATTTTCACGGTTTTTGCAGTGTGTTAAAACTAATCAAAACATTTGTTGTTTTTTGTGTTTTTATTCCTGCAAAAGTGTCGTTGAGTTAATCTTCACATTACTTTTACGTCTCCAAGTTTTTGTGGGTTTCTTTTTGGTGCGCCCCTTGCGAGATGGAGTCGTACAGGGCTGGAACATCGGTGCTCCAGCCGGCAGTGAAGACATTGCCAGCCACCGGATAGCCAAGCTTGTAGCGTTTTGCAAATTCCATGCTCTTGAAGTTGCTGCGTCCCGTTAGAATGTGCTTGGGCAGTTTGGGGAAATTGAATTTACAGTAGTCCCGTTGCCTGTAGAGCAGAAAGACATAGCGGTGCATGCCACTGCCAGAGGCCGGTATGGCTCCCACATAGCCGACGCGAACATCCCCCATGATGAGCTGATTGCCGGGAATGTTAAGCACCATCCAGTGCAGAAATTCCCGCGCCGAAGGCTGCTGGGCGCTGGGCGCATCCGGATCGATCATCAGCAGCGTGTAGTAGTTCGTCATGGGTGCGTTCCAGGCCACGTAGGGCTCATCGCGCACCTGCATGGGCTGCAGCTCCACGGCGCGATCCGCTTCAATAGATCCCAGATACGTGACCTAAGAGGGGAGGTTATACAAAATCAACGGCGTGATCCCTCTGGGATTTTACTTACATTGAGAAACTCCTGTGGTCCAGTTTCTATTATATCGGGAATGACTTCCAGGTGCCTCAGGAACTTGCCCACCTCGGTTTCCGAATCAAAATCTGCACCGCACAGCGTGCAGCTCAGGCAGAGCATTATCCAGTGGTGGACCAACATTCTATAGGTAGTTTTTCAACTGACTAGAAATATTCCTTGGCTGCGGCTTAAATACACTTGAGGCTCACAGCCAACACACATTTATTTAGTCCATGGTCCATGGCCCTTGGTTTTTGGGCAAAACAGCTGCCGACTCGATTCTGATTGACTCATTTGTCATCAATTTGCTGCCCTGCACACCTTTAATCAGTCTTCAAGTGAAAGGGAAGTGCTTGGCGTGCCTCAGAGCAATTTGCTTGAGTGACCACCGACTTGCGTGCTGCCAGATTCGAAAATCACTAAGCCCACAATCAGTTAGAACATCATTAAGTTGGATCATTAAGTTACCGACGGCTTTTCAACATGCAAATCGGAAATACACTATCGAAGGCGGCTTACGAGTGATTTTTGTAGGGTATCTCCAGTGTAGGTTTTACAGGCCAATTGGCTAATTTCCTTTTGGCATTTAAAACCACGTAGACCCCAATCGAGTAGACCCAAAATATTATCTTTTTGGATAAATGTTTTCAATTTTTGCATTTTAATAAATTAAATAAATAATATTTCAATTCAGTAGTGGGAGATTTTTGGTCGATAGAGAACTAATGAAGGCAGGAGTGGAGGAGTAGAAGTGGGGCTGGACAGGGGCTATGTGGGTGGGGAGTGGTCTGTGGTCTGTGGTCTGTGGGGCAGCTGAAGAATGGCTAAAAACTCGCTCGCATGCTTCACCTTAAGTAACTAAAATTATGGCCTAGGCTTGTTCCGTTTCCATTTGGTCTGTTTGTTGACTCGCGGAGCCACCCTCCGGATTGTGCTCGGATGGGCTGGCATCCTCGGTATTCCTTGGTATGTATGGTATGTACACATAAAGCGGCAGGGGGGCGGCGCGCTTGGCGCCTCATCTAAGAGGAGGAGCTGTAGCTGGACGAGGAGCTGGGGGAGGAGCTCGACGAGGAGCCGGAGGAGTAGGAGGAGGAGCTGCTGGGATGGTAGGAGCTATAGGCCAGATTCTGCGAGTCCCAACGGGCATAGGGGCCGCTGTTCATGGGCTCCCAGCTGCTGGGATCGTACGAGGAGGCCGTGGTGCTGGGCACACCGTATTCCATGGCCGGGGCTGGCATGGGCACCATGTTCATCTTCATGCCACCCAGCTTCTGGATGAGATTGTAGATGAGGAAGCCGAGCACCAGCTTGATGGCGATCTTGGACAGGATCAGAGCCTTGGTGGCCTTCAGGCCGATCAGAGCAAGCAGAATGGGCATGACCACCTTCAGCTTCAGCTTCATCAGCAGCAGCAGAGGCAGGAAGAGCTTGTCCTTGTTCTTCTTCTCAGCGCGACCTAAAATATACAGAAGAAGGTCATTGTGTGTTCGAGCTGGGGTCATGGCTGACTCTACGCACCCTCCTCTTTGGGCAGCTCCAGATCGAAGCCGCGATCAGCACGATAGGTCATCACGGAGCCGGCGAAGAAGGTCTCTGGCAGCTGGAGACGCATCTCGTTGGAGTGCAGAATGCGGCCAATGCGATCCACGATGACCTTGTCAATGACATCGTCATCGAAGGCACGGCCACTGACCTCCTCCTCCACATGGGCCATCGTGTCCAGATAGGTGAGCACCTTCTCCTTGAGACAATGCATGGCATTGGCATGGAAGCACTTATCCACAATGGTCGAGATCAGCTCATCGGAGCTGTGGATGCGCGGAGTGACCGCATTGCCCTCGATGGCAGCCCCAGACACTGCACCGGACACCAGCAGCACGCAACCGACCGCGAGCAAGGACGTAAAACGGATGGCCATTCTGTTTGGATCGGATTTCCACACTTTAAAGATACAAATATAATGGATAGACACTACCAGAGCGCGTAGTGTTCACGGCGAGGTCGATGCGACGACAATGTTGGACAGTTGTTCGAGCGTCAACGGTTTTATACTGCCGCTCCCCACACACTCAAGAGAGCCACCAAAGACAGACAGTGGCAGAGGGCCTGGCCTGCCTGCAAGTATTTTGGAGCGTACACTTTTTCGGTTTTCGAGTGACGAGACTGTTGGAACGCCAACGGGGCCGAAGCCGAAGACGAACCCTAAGCCAAAGTGTCCACGGAAAGCAAATGTCCAAAAAGTTTTTCACCAAAAAAATTACTATCTGGGTTGTCCACCGCCACTGGCCGGCCACTAACGCATGTCTTCGGCGCTTTCTTCGCTTTCCATATCGACCAGACATATGTGTTGGCCACCCCCGCCTTGGGCCAGCCTTTTGGTCTTGTGGCCAAAGTTGCACTTGCTGACGCTCCGATGAAAATAAACTTTTGTTTCCTATTTAGTATGCAGGCAGTCAACTCTTACGCGACTGGCCGCAAGAAAGCCAGATCGAAGGGCTTGCTGCCGACACGTACATATTTCAGCGTATTGTGTCAAATTTCGATGCAAGAAATCAGTACGGAACTCACCTACGTTGAGGTATTGAACCTCCTACTCCTGATTGGATTTGTCTTTGCTCTTTGTTTGTCTGTCTGTCGTGTATGCGGAACTGTTTGCTCAATTCACTTATCATGTGCTTGTCGTCCACCCAGTGTTGGATTACGAAATAGATTTTCATTTTGATTTGTGACACATTTGCCGCAGACACGTTTCTTGCTTCATTTGGGTCAAACATCTGGCCACCATCAGGTTGGCTTCCATTCATGCTCTTCTCTTGTTTCTAATTGGTGCAATGATTTAGTCAGGAATTTCCAATGCTAATTGCTTCTCATTATCATAACTTCATGCATCAATCCTTGTGCATTTGGCCGTCTGGAAGGAGTCCCTCAATAGCTGTAGTAAATTCTTAGCTGACATTCGCAGGCGGACAAGCACACAGATGCCATTGACTCCTTGATTTCATTGGATATTATTATTCATTCAGATGCTTTGGCTTTACCTGAACATATTTCAGGCCAAAATAGAATTTTTCGACCGTTTTTTATATTTATTTTTCTATGTTACGGCTAAAATATGATACTTTTCATTACAACCATAAAATCAATGCCCAAAACACACATTTTGGAGTATTTATATTTGCTTTATTTGAATACACTAGAAGAGATCCCATAAATGTAGTAAAACATTCCTAAAAAACTAACAAAAAACGTATCAAACTTCAGCGAAGATACAGCGAAAATGTCAACACCTTTGGCAAACTTCTCAGCGTTGCACAATCACAATCAAAAATCTCTGCGGCTGGCTGCCAAAATTTCATTGCGCAGATCCTCCTCCAACCTCCTCCATCCCAGGTGTTATTCAATTGTCAGGTGTAAATAATGCAACAGGCGTCGCTGTCCAATTTTTATGTGTATCACTTTGCAGTTATCCCAGCGATGAAAGAAATTTGTGAGCAGCTCCAACGCCACACTTTTTGCTTGGTTCGTGCCAAACCAAAGAGCCGACAATGTCCGTGTCTTGCCCAAAACAGCGACCTCATGCATGCCAAACGATTATGAAAGTGGCGCCAGCTGTCCAGCTGTCCAG